GGATCCTTTAGGGGGTCTGGGCTCCTGGTACTTCATGGGCAGCCTGGGAGGGAAGATGTAGAGATGATTCTAGGCTTCCTAGGGATCCACTCCACCGTCGCCCTTGGGCAACGGCAAGCCTAGTGACTTCTTGAGACCCGGACGGCTCCTGGAGCTTCGTCATCACTCAATTTTGCTGTGGAGCTTCGTAATCACCATGACAAAAGCATGTCTGAGTTCAGATAGCTTCTATCCCTCGTCTCCTCCTAGGGCATCTCTGTCTCTCTGAAGCTACATCCAAATCCCAGAGCCCTGTACTGAACGCCGATGATCCGCCCTCAATGACTTCGAGCAAGTCTCTATGGCATCTTCTAAGTTATGGGTACACAACCCGGAGCCCCTGGCTCCAGTATAGCAGTATAGCATTTGCTGGCTGAGCCGCTTTGCACGCGCAAGTCCTGGAACCAGTGGAGAGCCAAAGCCCAGAACCTCTGGGGAGCCATTTGGGGATTAGAATTCAAGTAAGGGGGGGAGGTGCTTGTAGGAAATTCTTGAGCTTCATGTGCGGTGTATCATGGGGGGGAGGTGCCGCATTCTTTGGAGCGGCGATCTTCTGCTTCGGAGGACCCCTTATCCTAACCTCGGCCCTAAACCCAACACTAACCAAAACTTCCATGCCTATGCAGGGGACTCCAAGCGAGCACCCTCTCCTACACTACCAGTGACCTTTGCAGGTGCCAGGAATGTTTCGGGAGGGTCAAGAATCATTAAACTACAAGAAGAGCTTCTTTACCGAAAGTTTTCCAAAACGTAAACCGTTCTAGACCTTGGGTTAGGACCGCATGCACTGATAGAGGTATACTAGGAACATGCAAGGACCCCAATATAGTCACTGCTATCTCTTGTGGTCACCATTAGGTTGAGGGCTTGACCTAAGCTAGACCCTAAAACGTATGATTGGGGGCGGCCAAGCTTGATGGCATGATGTTCCTTGCCTACTCACTTCATGCTAATCCCTAAACAGCCTCCCCATGCCTGATACTAAACATGTCCCCCAAGATAAAAACGTCTCTTCTGGAGACAGACTAGGGCATGGGATTTTCACAAAGGGCTTTAGGAAGACTAGTGACTAGTGTCTTTTCTGAACATGGCTGTCCCCAAGCCCTATGCTAGCTTGGAGGAAGTTAGGGGATACAGTAAGTGCCAGGTAAAGGAGGCGCTCTAACTCCAAAGTACTCAGAGGATGACCTAGGGGTGCTCAGTAAGAAGGTTTCAAGCCCATATTGTAACCCCTATGATCCATTTAGTAACCCTAATTTAAAACTGACATCCAAATCGCCGCAGGCCGTCGAAGATAGTTCAGGGTCTGCAAGGCTGACGGTTAAAGCCTCTGAGCTGTGTTTATGTTTGGGTGCCTTGGCTCTGCAAGCGTAACGCTGGCGCGTCTACACGTATGTACCAGGTTTGGTACTTGCAGTGAACGGTGCAGAATCTGTGCATGGGTGCACACTGCACCGGGCTTCTGGGCACCCGCAACTGCAGCGATGCCATGATGAAGGGCTTTAAGCTCAGGCGAGAACCACCTGGTGAGTCAGTAACCATATTACCGTAAGGGTGTTCCTTTTCCTGCTGTTTCCATAGTGCCAGGGCACGCAGAATTCAAGATTGGCCTGACGGTGGAAAATTCGCTCATTTTGTGTCGAAACACCTCCTTTTGGGGGCGTGCTTGCAATAAGGATGTTAATTTATTGGGGTTTTTTATTGGCCCCCCCCATTTCTGGAGTTCCCAGTATAAGCCCCAAAAACGTTATCAAGGCATTTCGCACCCCCTTAGTTTTCGGTGCGGCCTCGAGTCCTTGTCATCTCGTAATAGGAATAGTAACAGTAGCAGTGATGATAATAATAATAGTAATGGGAATAGCAATAAGAATAATAATAACAATTCGACTAGTAATAACAGTAGTAGTAGCAGTAGTAGTAGTAGTCGTCGTCGTCGTAGTAGTAGTAGTAATAATAAAAAAATAAGAATAGTAAGAAGCTACCCTATCAAACAAAGGCTGCTCCTTTTTCCGCCGAGTTTTGGGACCGGTTAAAGGATACCCCCTCCACCAGGCGGGTAGCTTCTAGGTGGGTACTGCCACATAACGCTCATGTAAGGCCCATGTAAGGGTAATGGCGTCCAATGAGGTGAGCATAGGCTCCTCTGAAGAGTATCCACCTGAGAACTACCCACCTAGGGGTGTCCTTGACAGTGGCTGAGAAGAACGTTGCTCGGTGCTTTGCACCGTTAGAGCAGTAAGCCTCCTCAAAACATGTATGACCCCTAACTAGCTCCTTGTTTGCAGAAATTGCTTCAGGCGGGCAGAGATTGTCTTGTCCGAACCTTCACGCCACAGAGACGAATCTATAGAATGTCAGAGCTAATCCTGATGGACTCCCTGACGCCAAGATTGCATTAAACCCCATAAGACTCCCCATCGTATGAATTTGCTACTTATACTTATGTTCCCTGCTTCAATATCTTGGTATTTCTTGAAGTTAAAATCTTCAAACCCTCCCATCTCCCCGACTTTCCTGGGTCAATGTGTATTGCCGTGGCACTCAGGTAACCTCGTGACTTTGCAAACGCCTTAGGCCTTGGGCCTCCCTGAATATCCTTTAGCAATTTATTAACCTTCAACTCCTGTACTGATTCATGAGATCGCCTGTAAAAGCTCTTGAAGAGGATGGCCTACGTGCTGTTTTGGTTGCGCATCACCACTCGAAGGCATCCTCCGAACTCGGTGATTACACTTCGCCCCCGCTCCTGGCACGCAGCTTGGCTTACTGGTGCTGAGGGAATGGGGGCTCGAATCTGTCGTACGCTTGTGGGGCTAGACTGTATGTTGTAGGGACCACCCATGAGAAAATGATCAGGGTCTAATGGGCTTTGGGATTGCGATGGAAAAGGGATTGCCAGTGCTTTGTGCTCGCCTTCTTATGCATTATTAGTTACTTTGCGGCATTTTTGCAGACGTATTGATGGTGTCATAGCATGGAAATTATGACAGTCTGGCCTTCTCAACAGCCTTAGTCCGGTTGACGGCTTGTTCTGGAACATCATACCTTGCCCATGCTGCCGCTGGGATCACTGCCATGCAGCACCATTTTCTTTGGGTGCCTTTCGGCCCCGCTTCGTATCCTTGATCTGGCTGCCTTTCGGCGCCACTTCTTGCTCTTAACCTGGCTGCCTTTCAGCGCCACTTTCTCTTGGCTGCCTTTCGGTGCCAGTTCTTATTCTTAATCTGGCTGCCTTTCGGCGCCACTTTTTCTTGGCTCACGTACTCTGGCTTCCTTGCCGCGCCACCCTACACATGAAGCCCTAAATCCTAACCCATGAAGCCCAAACCCTGGAATGAGATCGGGGCATGAAGAGTGCTTCTTCATCGGCCAGCATTCCATAGGTCACATAGCGAAGTTTTGGGGTTTGGGTCTCAAGTTTCGGGTACACCTACGATTTGGGCTTGATTTGGGACACTAAACCATTCATAACTCTAAAGCCTTCCGCGCAGAATCAGCCCGCAAACTGTAGACTCTGTGCCGAATGACTCCACGGCTTTAGCAGCTGATTTCTTAGCCATAAGCGCATAGGACCCTAGCATGGGAATGCCACAGTACTATTTGTTGTGCGAAGATCGCACGAGGTGGCTTTAGGGTTTAGGGTTTCTGTGGTAGTTGCAGTAGTATTAACAATAAGAACAGATATCACGGCCACTAGCAATTGCAAACCTCAAAATAAGTAGTAGCAACAACAGAATGTTTTACATGTATTGGTAGGAAAAAGCAATAGGTATTCATAGTTGAAGTAATCGTCAGATAATTCAGGGTAATAGCAATAACAGAAAGAGGGCTTCGTCAAAGACCTGGAAAGTGGGAAAGGGGCTGGGGAATGCTTGGTCAAAGAGCTGTGGGCTCGAATCCCTTTGCGCGGTACGCCCTTGGTTCGGCCATGAGGCAGAACACCCTGCCAGAGTCTGGGCTGCATCAGCAGCCTCCAGCCCTATACTTTCCACATTTCCATCCTGGAAACTATGTACACCAAAAGCTAGAAGCAAATTGACTCAAGCACTGCTGAAACTAGACCTAGACTCCAAAAGACGTGTCATCACAAATCAGAAGCCCAGAAAACCTCAGCCAGAAAACAAGGCCTCCAACACGCGTAGCGCAGGGCGGGCGGTCGTCCCTGCTGCGTTGGCGTGGGCAGCAACACTCCTGGGCCCACAATTCAAAGCTTCAGATGGGTTCCAGGTATGGAGTTGGGGATTTCTCACAACAGAAGGTCCCTGGGGGTGTATGAGGCACAAAGAGGTTCTGGAGGTTTTATCAGTGCTCATCCATGGACCATTTTGAGAAAGTCGTTCCCCATGACAAACAGAGCCAGCTTCAGGTGGACATGTGAGCCGCTAATGCAATGAATCCTGCCGCAGCATGCCCGCCAAGTCTGTGCCTCCAACCCTTCACCTCCAAGATTTATCTATCCCGGAACTCGTGCCAGCTCTAGAAATGTGGCATGCATCCTTCTCCTCAAGCGTTTTACGCTTCCACACGCCCTTAACTGCAGGTGAAGTCATCAAACCTAATACCACTTTCCTAACAAAAACCTTCACATAACAGACAACCACCGAGGATCAGCTTCTGAACAAGTTGGTCCCAGGCCTGAGGTTTCTGGTACGTTTGGCAAACTTGCTGGGAATTAGTAGGGAAGAAGGGACTATAAGATATCGGGATTATTTAGGGATGCCCTGCTAATTAACCACCAGTAAGCCAAACAGGATTTGGAGTTGGACTGGGGGACGCACGGCTCAGTCTTTCAGGTGTGTGGATTGAGGTTAACATCTTCGGCATGAGTCCAAAAGGTTTGGGGCCTCAGGGTTTGAAGGCAGAACAGTAGCACGTAGCAGTGTCAAAGGGGGAGGAACTCTAGCAAAATCCAAAGCCTGCCAATTACGACCCTCGAGGGCTTTCCCTCTCCGCCCCAAACCAATCTCTAGGGATCGAACCAACACAAATGCCGCTACAAGCCTACAAAAAAGGCAGAAATCTCAAATCCCAAAGATCCATCCCATAAACACGAAATTTCTAAACCCAATACTTCCGAATCCTCAAAATTCCAGGCCTCCTTGACCTCTGTTGCTTGCTCCTGCAGGCGGCTCCAGGGTATGTAGTAGGAAATGGGACATTGTCACATAGCCAGAACCATGGTACTCCCCCACGAAACAATACAGCCATGACGAAGGTCTTGTTTCCACAATCATTCGAGTTCCCCTTCTCCTAATCATGAAGATTTCTAAGTTTGATCGAATCGTGATTAAATGATTAAAGGGGGTGAATAGAAACTGTGGGATGACGAGTCCACATGTCCATGTTTCGACGTGGATTTGCACAAAGCGTCCCTATCCTTCGGATTTGTATCTCTGAGCAACAAGAAAGCAGCGTCCTAAACTTTGTAAAT